ATGTATCTGTTTGTCGCACGGCGTAGATCGCCGGCAGATTTTTAAGGGTGCCGGTACACGCTGAGCTGATGCTGAGCTGATGCTGAGCCGCTGAAATCAATAACTTATCGAATCAGCAGAATAATCATTCGGCTAATTTTTCATAAGGAGTCCCAGGAATAATGATAACAGCTGTAAAATTCGAGTTACCCGAGTTTTACTGACCGTTTCGGAGCACTACTTGTAACTATTCAAGGGTGAATTTGGTAGTAGTTTTTCAAAAAAATGCCTTTTTTTTACTGGTCGAGAAAAATAGATTTAGGGCTTTCAAGTTTATAACAATGGACTTTACACCTAAAAAATCCGATTAGTAACAAAAGTGTAACATAGTTTAATTATCCGGAAGTCAAAATCTGATAAGTTATATACATTTAAATATAAAGAAATGCAAAAATCCAGAAAACATAGTCAAAATCTGATAAGTTATAAAGAAATGCAAAAATCCGGAAATCATATACAAATTTTTATATGTATTTAGTGTTTTAACCTCATGATATTTACGTTTTTCAATATTAAAAAATACCGCTATCAAAAATAAACCCATTGCGAAACTTTTTAAATATATAGAACATTATTCAGATGTACAATAATCTAGTGGCGAAACCACGGGTAAATAAACCAGCTAATTAAATAACTAAATATTTAAATACACTAATAATACACTAAGATTATTTACTATAATTTTTTTTGCCAAAATATATTTGAGTGTCGCTAAAAGAAAACCTGAAAATTTAAATGTAAGCATATTTAAATTTTTGGGGTTTCTTTTAGCGCACTCATATACTGAAGAAGTTTTGTAAGCATTAATCTAAAATAACTTTATCATTTTCACGTTGTTGAGCAAATAATTGTTGTTGTCTAATAGCACTTTCCCTCTTTGATGTACGTTTTGAAGAAGGAGATTCCACATTTTCAGCGCCTAAATAAGAACTTCCACTTTGTTCATTTTCAGACTGCCCAAATACAGTAAGTACGTAAATTCCACGCATCATGTTTCGGAAGCAAATAACAGAAAAATATATGGTAACTGATACAAGTACGAATACTACAACTAAAAAGAACGTTAAGAATCTTCGAGTAAATACGTATGGATCTAATTAAGACAAAATTTAGAATCGTGAGAATTGACGTTAATAAAATTAAATCGATAAAGGAACAATAAATAAAGAATACCAAAAGAATCATCAATACGAATGTTAATTGTTATAAGTCGAAATCCCCAGTAAACCAGCGTCATAGAATAAGTATTAATAACACATAACATGAGATATTTCATTTCCATACTGACGGCGAACCAAGCCGTTAACAACATAAAAGTACCAACAAAGAAGACGAGGACAATTTCTACCATATTGGAATAATAACCAATTCGTTGAGAAGGTATAAGTTGTAAGGCGTAAGAACCAATAAAGAATATATCCATTTTAAGCAAAGTCTGTAAAATGATAAGATTCCAATATGCATCACGAATGCGAATATCAGCAGAATAAGTTTTATAGTTTTCCCAACCGAATTCTTTGGAAAGCAAGTAAGACATGAAAGCTAAATATACAGAAAAAACACATATTATGCCAATGATTGTATGCTCTATTGGTCGCATTTTAGCTTCGTAATATGTTTTGGGAGCATATCTATCTTCTGTAGGGAAAATGGGATTATTCGGAACGTATGTTGCATTTTCAGTGCCTTGGTCTTCGAGAATTTGATGTTGATAAAGTTGTAGTCCCGCATATGCTAATGAAAGAAAATTGAATACTACAAGAGCTATTATTTGAACAGAATTACGGTGCCAGAGAGCATCAACTGCTAAGAGTATTTGGAAGTATAGCGCGAGGATAAATCTTGAAGATGGTAGAAGAAAAAAAATTAGCAAGTTTTAAAAAGTTAATTTATAATGATTTACTTACATTGCATGATAGATTAAGTCTGCCTCAGATATTCCTTTGCCAAATGTATTTAATTCATATTGACTAACAAAATTGACATGAAAATAAATAACAAAAGCTTCCAAGACAGTGATGATTATCGCTTGAAAAATGATAGAAATAATAGTGATTTTGCCAAAAACAGATAATTTAAACATTATGTACAATTAATAGACTTAAGGATGAAACAATTTAAGAAAAAAAGAATTTCATAATCAAAAATTCCTTAAGCAAGAAGAATGTTGTGACATTCATTTTAATTTATAATATTTTGCCAAGCAAACTATCAATTGGGCTGTAGGTATGTTTTTTTTTTTTTGGCGTGAAATATTCGAATTAAGGACATGTGCGTAACGATAACAGAGTTAGCCGGGTAGTAATTTATATGCCTCACGTGACTTTTACTTTACAATAATCAAACTTAAAAACTACCTTACTTTAGACGATCCCTAAAATTAGAAGTGCAGATCAGGGATCGTATCACAATCGGTTGTGGAGCAATCGCAAATTAAGCTCCGATTGTAGGTAAAGCAAGAATCTGGATAGACGAAGAAAAAAGAACCCTCACCAAAGAAGTAACCTATCCTGAGAAAGTACAACAAAACATAGTAATAACTTTAACTGAAGAAGAAACAGCTTGCCTGATACTATACTCATACGTATTAGAA